CTTTGGTGAGGAGAGAGAGAGAGAGAAAGAGAGAGATAGAGAGAGAGAGGGGGGGAGGGAGACAGAGAGTAATAATACTTTATTATTTGTTTCTACTTCTGCAGGTCCAGAGGAGCATATGGAAGTTCCTCCTCAGAAACTTGCTGTATATGAATCAGAACTATTGTAATTTTAATAGTTATTGTTTTAATGCACTTATTATTTCATAAAGTGTGACATTAATAATAATAATTAATAATATTTCATTAATAATCATTACCATTTTTGCTGTATTCATGTATTTATTTTGTGTTCAAAGCAATAAAATAATTTGCAATGTTCCTTAATCCTATTAATCGAGTGGGTGTGGTCACGAATTATCACGTGATTGAGCCACTTTCATAAAAATGGCGGAAGGTGGTGGCAATGAAGCTGCTTGTCAGCCACTGCCTGAGGCTGAAGGGTACGATTATACATACGTTGAAGAACCTCCAGAGAACCTAACGTGTCCAATCTGCATCCTGCCTTGTCGAGAGCCACAAATAATGGATTGCTGTGGAGCTAAGTTTTGTCTACCATGTATTGAAAGAGAGCAGTTTGCTGGACGGCCCTGTCCTTTGTGCAGGGTACAGAGGTTCAAAATGTTAATAGACAGAGAACACCAAAGGAGGATATTGGCACTCAAAGTTTATTGCACTCAAAGGGAGGAGGGGTGCCAATGGAGCGGAGAGTTGCGCCATATTGAAAACCCTCATCTTGAGAAGGATTGTCAATATGTCCTTGAAGCCTGTTGCTGGGACTGTGGGCGGAGATATAAACGTAAAGATATAAGGTTTCACGAACAGGATGAGTGTGGCAATAGACCCTTGGAATGGTTAGGTAATACAGTCGCTAATGTAACACACACTAATCTAATAATGTAATAGACCTCTTTGTGTATACACAACACAGTTCCTGCTATGTTTATTAATTGGAGCGAGCCCCACATAAACGAGACACGTATGTATGTATGTATGTCTGTCTGTACACGTACGTCACCCCTATTTATGCGTAATATGGTAGATGCTATGCATTGAAAAGGATATATAAATTCAGTTTTCAATATTTCATTAAAAGTGGGAGTGGCCACAATGAATTAAAATGGCAACCAACACATGGGGAAAAGTCATGAGTTTTCTAGCAGCAAAATAAGACAAAAATTCTGTCCAAAGGCTTCTCCAACAGCCAGGCAAGGTTATAGATGCAATAAAGTAACTATGAAACTTGTTTTTGCTGATAACTCGACTTACTGTACTCGCATACTACTGTCCAAATGCTGCAAGGAATGTCAAG